GAGGTATAGAAATTGAAATATGTATATGTATCGACATGGGTGAACGAATATCACAGGGCACACGGTGTCGTAAACCCTTATTTCAAAATCCGGAATGTGTAATGGGCCCAATAAAGTGATAAACTCTGCTCCAACAGTAAAAATTATTTGCCACAAAAGGCTACATATTCCTCCCAATTTTTACATGACTACATTTCTTCAACTAGTTTTTCCATAGCAAATACGAATTTCCTCCCCTTTCCACGTGGGAGAAATCTCCATGGAAAAAGTAAAATAAATGCAGCAGAACCACCCACTCAAAATATTTGCTGGCAAGTTTCACCCTTTACTTTCCCACTCTGCCTCCCTCCCCTAAATTTTCTTTCTATTGCATCCTCCTCAACTCGAATTGACGTCTTCAACTTCAACCCTACCGAAATATTCCAGAAGTTCTAAAGAAGAAAAGTCAAGTCAAGTCAGTCAATTGAGAAATGCATAGGAAAACCTAAACTTTCCCCACAACCACCCACCACCACGAGGGAGAGATCAGTCTCTCTCAAAGTTTCTCACATTTGCATTCCTTTGCTCCCAGAAAGTGCAGTATTCTCCACAAAATTTGAACTTTCTACTAAATGCCAAATTAATGCTGGGCATCAATTCCCCACCGACAATATCTGACATTGACATTGTTTGCATGAATGAGCAAATGCAAACGCAATCACATGACCATTAGGAGAACGAGAAGAATCAATATTTCACTATTTGTCTTCTTCATCCTGCATCCATATTTGTACACGAGCCGCACTTTCGTCGGAAACAGTTGCTCCAGAAACATGAGACTTATCGAAATAAATGTGTCTGCACCTAACACGACGACTGCGGATTTTATTAACTATGCAAAAAACAAATACTCCATTTTCATCTAATTCACGCACAATTTAATCATCCTCACGAACAACGATGCCAATTACGTGTGCCACCCCCATTAAAGTAACGATTACGATTTCACCCTCGTCTCTCGCACCCTGGGAAATGGTCAAAATTTAATCCAGCAATTTCAAACTGTGTAAATTACAAAGTGCACTGAAAACTTCAAAGCGACACTAAAGTTTGCTCTCTGGACATGGTAATAACATAACAGTAACATGTATAAAGAGTGAATTAAGCCCTTGTCTGCTGCACTTTTCCCCTTCTAAAATTCGAGGGTGCTAAACATTGAGTTTGTAATATAAGTAACTCAGAAACATGAACATGACAACGTTTCCTTGCTTACGTTACGAGCAATTTGGTGGAGAGAACGATCCTCTTGTTCGTTCAGCGAAAGAGTCAAAGTCAAATTCGGTTCGATATGTATACGCGTCCAGCACCCCATTACATACGTACGCATTAACAGGGTTGCTAAAACATAGCGTTTTTTAGATATTCGCAAAAATAGTGTGGTTTGCAATAAATTCGAAAATTAGGAAACCATGCATATTTGAATTTACAAGTAACTATAGAAAATCCTAAAAAGACAAAGATTTGCTTATAAAAAATCATATTCGGAAATTTGCAAAAAAATTCATGAACAAAAAATACATCTATTTAGCATATGAAAATCAGCAATTACAATACATACAACCCATCAATTACACCACACATCCTTTAAAATCTGCAGAAAATGCACGCATAAAACCCACAAAAAACACATGTCACCTTTCCACACAAAAACACGCGTTTGGAACCCTACTTACGCATTGACTACGCATCCCTCTCTCAAATGTCAACTACTCGAGAGTCACATTTTCGTCTCGTCCCTCCAGAATAATAGAATGCAATCATGGCCAATTACGTGTAGTAAAATCTAACCAAACACATAACACATGTTACACACCGACATCCATCCATCCATCCCTTCTTCTAATTCAACCCTAATTTCGCTTCTCATTTTGTTAACTTAACAAAATTCAATCAATTGATGAACAAACCGTATTGATTTCTGACTCTGAGCATACAAATTTTTACTTTCCATCTCCCTAGGTAAAGTTTACTTTACTTTATTTTATCCCCGGTGGGAAGGTGACAGTTGTTCGTGTATGGCGAAATCTGCTCATCTTTCTGCTCGCCAGGGTTTTATGACGGCTACAAATTATGCTGTCAGGCTGTCTAACCCACCCAAACCAATCATCACGTCATACGTACATTTGTATGTATGTACATAGAGGCGTAAAGATATTAAACAGTAGACGTTACGTAGAGTGAAAATAGAAATTTGTATTTCGCTCCCTCTTTCACTTTCAACTTTTAAATAGTTTACCTTTACCCATGTGGAGAGAGATCTCATTTTATGATTGCTTTTTCTACACAATTTCACGCCTCATCTCGTCCCCCGTGCACGTTTTACGGTATCACATCGCGACGTGAACTTATCAACGGTGAGATAAAAGTGTAGAATAATTTTAGAAAAAATAATTCCACCCTTCAAAGATTGAAATACATTGAAATTCGGTTTTCAAAAAGTTGCCTGTGGCATCTAAAAACTTTTTCACCAAAATCTTTCCCCTTAATGGCATGATCAACACTGTAATAAAAACATGAAACAAAACTATGAAAAATGTCACCCTTCAAAAAAATACATTGAAATTCAGTTTTCGAAAACTTTACATGTTTCCCATGGCATTTAAAAACTTTCCCACAAAATCCTTCCTACCCACTTAACGACATGAAGGTCACAAACCTAAAATTATGCCTTAACAATGTGTCGCGTGACGGTGTGTCCAGAATATTTTATGCAGATCATCACCACCGATACCGATTTGGTAGTGGAAGACTCGCCACCATGAGAAAATCTATCGGGAGAGGAAACCATTCCATATTTATAGCTGCACCAATCCAAGGGGTCGTCATACATTTGGGTGTGGCATGCTCTGGACCCAGCGGGAGCCCAGAACTGAACGGACATGAACCGGAAGAGCAGTCAGAAGTAATCATCGTCGTTATCAAAGTCATATTCAAAACGATAATGAGACAGTGATGGGGTTGGATGGGTGGAATTATGGCAAGTCGCTCCCCGTCAGTCAAGTTCTAGTTCAATGTCAGTCATTACCATTACAACAACGAAGACCGTTTCTTTCGAGTCGATATTTTTTCTTCCTGACTTTTTTTCATTACGTGAAACTAGCCGAATTCGGGCAACACGGCAGGTAGGGTGGTGAATGAGTAGTGATTATTACCCGTCGTAGAAGCTAGTTAGTTGTGGTTGACCGTAATCACTACGAAGGAAGCATATTTTTCTCCCCAAGTCACAGTTAGTGTGGCAACCCCGACGGAAAATATGTATTTATGTACACACCCGCCAATTATCTGTTTGGGGAAAGTATGCTCCGCTTTCTCCACTCTAATTAGGACACGACTGTTTTTTTATGATGTGGTAATCCCTCGTGGGGTAATGATGACAATCAACTTTACGACTTTGCCGGACACGTCGGTTGGTCATGGTCGATCATGCTCTTTTCCTAAATACGGCTTAAGAGCTTTAGGGTAAATTAGAGTGCTTCGGGGTGGATTAGGGTTGCCTTGATTTTGGGAGAATTGAGTGAGACTGTGATCAGATAAATAATGGAAGGGATTGCATAATTGGACTAATTATTTATTCTGAAAATGTTAAGAACTCTGAGTGCTTATCGCAAATGCGAACAGACTCAATTACAAATTTGGCAGAATAATTTGCGTAGTTCCCTTCATGTAGAAATTAATTTTGGAAATTCCAAAAATTATATAACTCGAATACTTAAATACCCAAAATTGTACCAAATTTTGCTAATTTTCTCGACAACCTCACTCCGATTGCAGATTATATTCTTTAAGATCATGTTTAAAATCATCATGAAATATAAGCTACATCGTTGAACATGTCAACGGGACAAAACCAGTAGCTTCAATTACACACTTCTTCCACTGCAGTCGCAGTCCAGACTTCATGCATCTACCTAATTTGCCCCGAGATGAATAATGACCACATCATCCCTCCGCCAGGAAGAAGACGCATCTGTGCAAATATGTCCATACCAAATATCTCCTCGCACCAAACATACATAAATCTGAATCTAAATCCTTAAAGGAAAACAATGGAACTGCAACTCATCTCTGTTCAGACTTTCTGCCCACAATTTAAATCCGCATCATCACCATATGATTTTGGTCATGTGCATACTGCATATACACATATTTAATACTACGTTATTCATTCATGAAGGAGATTAGATGATAAATTGTTTATTCTTCTCCACTGGGCAAGATACACGGGGGAGATTAGCGCAGCAAATAAATAGCCAGCCGTTTGATTGTGCACAATTGTATTTTTCGATGCCTGGTGTAGAATTGATTATTGATTGTACACACACAAGCGTGATTTTGATTCCATCTGTGTTGGCGAGTGCACAATAATAATAATAAAAATAATAATCGAAATCATAATCCAATCCATGAAAAATTGTTTGATTCTGCTCCCCGATAAAATGCCAAGCCAAGTCTGTGTCTACTTGCACACAATGCAAATACTAATCACGCAGAAGTGCAGACTATAAAAATATACGGAGATACTAATCTTAATTTATGTTTTGGAAATTTACTTTAATCTCAACTTTTGCGAGACCGACGGTGTTTTTTTTCATTGGATTTTTGGGGGGTGTTGGGGTCATGCGGTTTGGTAAGAATGCGGATGGTCAGAGAAGAGGCGTCCCGCTTTGTTGTTATTGAGTCATCAGATGGGCACCTGGCCAGGTGTGGCGTGCAGATTTGTCACTGTCTCCGCACTCTCTATTCAGAAATATGTACTTACGAGTGGAGTTGGCCTTTTGAAAACGGGGGTTTTCCATTCTTTTCGCCATTTCTTTGGGTACTCCTCATTGTTTGGATCCATGAAACTTTGTGACAATAAAGGGATGTAATTTGGTCGAGAAAATTCGTATGATCAATATGATTCAATTTTAATGCGAAGAGTAGATACGAATTTAATATGCTCAATTTTTTCTGAAATTATGTTAGAAATGGAGCGTGGATTAATTAGAATCTGTAAATTTGTGTCGTAGTTGAAAATTTGTAAACTTTGGATTCGATTTCACAATTACTTTTTGCTTGCTCATAGAATTTATGGGTCAGATAAATAAATATTTCGAAAATTTTCATAAATTCATAAATTTTCGTAAATCATCCCCCCGACACAGACGACATGAGATCATCTCCTTTCGCTGCAACGGAGTAGGCGATGTCAGACAGAGAGCCGGCCGCATCTTTCCCAACGCCGAGCACCTTATCGGCCAGATCCTTCGCGGCACCCACCCCTTTCCCGGCGAAATCTAAAACACAAGGTTAAATACGTACATTTGTTGGCTATGCGTGGATTTTGCCGTCCAAAATATTTGGGACTGGTCAGTGCCCAAAAGTGGTAGAAAATGCAATAAATACCCCTTTTTAACTAACCCAACAAATCTTTAAACATGCCACGTCCGTGTCGTCCCTCGTCGTAATATTCGTCCGAGTACTCTTCTTCTTCGTCCTCCTCGTCCTCGTCATACTCATCCTCTTCGTACTCCTCCTCCTCTTCTTCCTCATCGTACTCGTCCTCTTCGGGTTCCTCCTCTTCTTCGTATCGGTGATAACGTGCGTATCGTCTCATGTTCAGACCGGACTGTAAAAAAAGTTATGATTTAAATTGCCGAAAATATAATAACGCCCTCAACGTTGAATCCTCATTTCCTGAAAAACTCACGCTTGATGCCCCGCCACCATGAAGATTTGCATTATCCATGACATAATTCTCATCCAAGGAGACTACACCCCCAAGTGGGGCGGCCCCAACTGGTCCCGCGGGTCCAGCGTCTGAGTTAATAAGGACACATTTATTTAAAAATAAAAAAGTGCCAGCTCTGCCCTCAATTTAATCAAAGCTAATGGAATTAATTTACCTATTGTCTTGACCACTAGCACGATCACAATGAGTGTCCGCCACTTGAATCTTGACCACATCATGAAACCACAAATAAAGTAAAGCACTGTATACCTGCCGAGCAAAGTGGATGGGGAAAGGGCAACAATCACGATTTAAATGCCTCCTCTCTTCAATATGGGAGTAGATTCGGCTATAGGTCATGAGGTCACTTCCTCAATCCAGTTCATACATACGCCCAGTAGTTAAGGAGTGATCAATTGTTAAGGCTGGTTTTTTACGTTACGTGATACCATTGTCCCATTGTGGGAGAGTTGGTTGGCATAAATTTGAAAATCGAAAGTGCTACACCATTTTTGATGTAAGTATAACAATGACAAATTTTGATTTTTTTAAACGAGATGGAAATTTATTTTTGAAAAGTTACCAAAACAGTTACATAATACGCTGTTCGATCTACTGACATGAATTACGAGGGTAAAAGTTCATCTATTTTTTGCCGTGTCCATCCAGAAGTTAAGTCATGCAGTGAAATATCTCCAGTTGCAGCTGCAATAAAATAAAAAGACTGACCTTCTTCTTCTCCAGTAATTTCTTTCACACAATTTTTTACAAAAGGAGGTAAACACCGACGAGTGGCTGCTGCAGTGCATGCAAAGTAGCCATAAATAAACCGTCACAACGAATGTAACCAAGGGGTGAAAGAAGTGTGTTATCCGTATTTCAATTCAAATTGATGCATGTATGCAATTTGACCTTTAAATGACATTTCATGACCTTTTGACCTTGATGGGTGTGACCTACAGTGCCCATCTTCGAACTCGTCCTCTCTATTGACGTTAGGAGTTTACGTTCAAAATTTCAAGTGTCTATGTCTTTTCGTTCAAAAGTTATCGGAGCTACGGACAGACAGACGGACGGACGGACGGACGGACGGACGGACGGACGGACGGACGGACGGACGGACGGACGGACGGACGGATGGACGGACAGACAGACGGACATAACGATCTTATAAAGGGCTTTCACCCCTTAATAAAGAAAGGATTCATTGTATTAAAATATGTCTGTCAGTCGGTTTGGTGAAGCATTTCACACACTCAAATTTGAAAAAAATGTAGATATTTCATCACTTCAAAGTAAGTGCACATGTGGAATTTATTTAATTGCGGAATGTCCCAACTACTTAGATTAATTGTAGTTTTATTAATAATTAAGGTGGTCATTAATTTGCAATCTTCTCATCTGAAAACCCTCACTTTTCTGCACAAGAACTAAATATTTTCATCCATAATTTACCATGTACAAGTCAGAGTCAAAGTCAACCCAAATAGTAATTTATCCCAGTTTTTTTACACCCCTGCATCTGCATCTTGTTCACTCTTTACAAGTTCAATGTCGACCATAAACATTTATTTCTTTTCAACTCCCTCATTCAATTCAGTCTGAGTGAAGAACTGACTGACTGAGCAAAAAAATCAAATCTGGAGGCAATTGAAAAGGCAAAAGAAGCAACTTTTTTTTCAACTGATGTGATTCGACTTCTTGAAGCGTAACATGTCTCGCAGCAGAAACAAATTCTTCTTCTTCTTCAAAGCTAAACTTACTTAAGAAATGATACCAGCCATCCATCCATAAACTCCTAAGCTGAACCATTTCTTTCTTTCTGTAAGGAGAACAATAGCGCTAAATTTTGTTAATGACAAAAGACTGGAATTGTTATATAGCCGAGCAAATCTTTTAGTCGGGAGCAAATTGCAGATATTTCTGGCTAACGACAGAATGCGTGCATTTTTCACGTGCTTCATAAGTAAATATACGTATTTTAAGGATATGAGCCCCAAATTTTGGACTCTTACTAGTGTGCTAGTAAATTTCAGTCGAGGATAGATAATCTTCCCCAAGAATTATGTATGACTGGCTGAATGTGGTGTTTACTTAGCTCGTGATATGTTTTGGTCAAGGGGGACTCGTAAAGTAAAGAGCTCTCTTATTCCCCCTCGTCTCAGGAAGGCAAATATATAAGTACTGTAAAGTTAACCACACCATGGTACACACACAGCAGTTATTAGAGAAGGGGCTGGAATTCTTTAACTCACTCGGGGGAAAAGACGTGTAAACAAAATAAATAGTTTTAAAAATACTGTTGAAGAGAAGGAGTTGGAGGTGAAAAACTTGTAAATCATTTCGGAAATACATACAAGGAAGTTTCACAAATTCTACTCGGACTTGGATTTTGCAGTGTTATTGTTCTGAATGTTTAGCAAATTTTTTAAAAACTATGGACATTTTGATGAATTTTATAGTAAAGCAAATTTCTCTTTCTCTATGTTACAGGTAAGAAGCTGCAGGCCAATCGGATCGTTGGCGTGCCCATAAACCGACTATTTATGTATACATATTTACTCTTTAAACTCATTTCTCAATAAACACGGAAGAATTGTCCCGACACGACAATGAAAGTTATCCATACAATGGAACCGGACAACAATTCACCGTTGGCAACAATGCCGTCCCGACCTGACCCAAGCTTCACCTTTCCATTTTCCAGTCTATAGAACATAACAGAGAAACAAAGCCATTTCTCTTAAAAGCTGGCAAACGCGTCGCGATGTTATCTCACAACTTCAGGTATCACGACGAGTTGACGGGGTATTCGTGCGTGATTTCCTCATTCGGCTGGACATTTTTCTTTCATTTTGGACTCGCATTTCATCACGAACTTCAGAGTTAGTCCCAGATAGGGTACGGATGTTGAGGAAACCTATTGTCATATGTATCGTTGCTACATTAGACACCAGTTTAAGTTGCAATGGTCGAAATTCAAGTTGACGCTCAGTCACGAATCCAACCTAAATACATACATGTTAAAAAACACAATCTCCCGCAAGGTACGGGATGTAATGAATGTTGTCATCTACTTAAATGTATACTAACTTTGAGGCAGGTTAGTAGACAGGTCAGGTTTATCGGTGGTGTTTGAATGATAAGACTGAAAGGTGGGAATGGATGATGTCGTGTTATCATTATCTGTCACATGTACACCTGAGACGACATTTTATGCCTTGTTTAATGAAGGGATGTTAAGGTAGGACTTATCTACGTGGGTCGAGTTATCAAATCTTAAAATAAATAAATATTTCACCTTTACCAGGCTGAAATATTTACTGAGCTGGACAAAAATCTGTAAAAAAAAAACTACTGTGCGTGGGTGAAATTCAAGGATAAAGCACTATTATCAACTAAACACAAATTAATCCACAATACAGATCCCAACTATTCACAGAAGCATTACAAACCCTGGATAGAACTGATCATCGTGACGGAAATCTTGAAAGCATTGTGCTGATCATTCTCCTTTCTTAGAAGCAATTTTTTATCAAAAGTTACACAATTCAATCCACTCTCTCCTTTTAAGCACCCAATTTTTATGTACCAAATTCGTTTCCCTCCTATTTTCCAAACAAGTAAAACGCTCGAGTTTTGTCCAGTAATACAATATCGCTAATTTGCAAATGCAACAAACCTTCGCATCAATCATGGTGGTCTACTCGAATGCGTTCCATGTAACTCTATCGTTTATTTTCTTGCCTAAATAGTACAAAATGGATTGTATCATCAAAACTTAAACCAACATACGCAACGCATGAACTCATCACTTTTTTTTAAATTTGTGCCTGAATGTACATACTTTTTAACGGGGGTAGTACACACACACACAAACGGTTAAGTGGATGAGTATCAAATTTCAAAAACCAGCCTGACTCATCATCATCCTATATTTCACTTCAACATGAAATTTCCTTCCTGCCCAGCTTCCATTCCACTTCATGACTTTGTACATATTCTCAAATTTGAATTATGATGACTGCTAGAATTATGGACTGGATTAATTCATGGGTTGGTCTCTTCCTTCCCAATGAGTAACGATATTCCTTGATTAAAATCCTGTCATAATACACAAAACTCTCAAACCCACCCGCATATCGGGTTCAATTCATTCTCCGTAATCTACTTGAAATGCACATATTTATTCAGTATTTTGTAATCCAATCAGCCCATTGGAAATATGAGAAGTCTGTAAACGATTTATTATTATTCACCAATTAAATACATACATATTCGCAGTGATAAGCAATCTTTTTCCCATGACTGGAATTTTTCGATAAGATGTAATAAGTAATCCACTCGTGGAATTTGTGCCATCATGGATTCGTCATCTTTAAGCCACGGGAACAAATCTTCGGCATTATTTCTTTAATACGTATCTGTAAATGTGACACTGCTTCCCTCCGCTGACTCAGCACTTTCCCCTGAAAGGGAACAACTTAATGAGGGACGCAACCAGAATGCTTAATGTTTGTTTCTTTTCTACAAATAAGAATCATCATTGCCCAGTTTGGGGTGGGTGTGACGGAAGAAAATATTAGTAAGCGTGGCTCTCAAACAAATACAAGGCAGGGACAAATCCAATTTCCAATCAATCGATCAATCAATCAAAGATGTACATTTGTATGAAGTAATTAAACATTTCTTCTCATTCGTAATCAGCACTTTTATTAATTATGTATGCATTTTTTTCGCGTGGTTGAGTGATGAATGACAATGACGTCAATTTGCAAATAAAGTTTCAGTGTCCTGAAATGGTTTTGTTTTCTTAGAGATGGACAATAACGACACGAGTGTAATTAGTAAAGTGGATTTTATTTGTGAATATTTTTATGTCAATTTCCACTCCGTCAGTCTAAGAAGTAATCAAAAAGATTGAATTTCTTGGACGGACGTGACTTTCAACAAATGGTTGTCAACCGTGCTGCCTCTTCTTTTCCTCTCAATGCCCAGATTTATGATGTGGCGTGGCGTCATCAATGTCACAAATTCTTTTGACGATGTGTGTGTGTACGAAATGCGCAGAGAACATGTCGTTTCGCCGAGAAGGTTCATATTCAGGACGAGTCGATTTTGCTTCTTGTTTGACTCATAGAATTGCTTTTTTGTGCTCTTGGAGTGGATATTATTCTCTGGTTGACTGGTCAGGGATGGTTTTGTGGAAATATTATGGTTATTGTGTATGAGAAGAATATTTACTAAAGAATAACGCCAATATCTGTACTCTGATTCGTATACGAAGATGCGAATAACATCAAACACTTTGAAAACAAAATAGATATGTGGCTGTACGTATTGTTATTCGAATCTGGATTCTTCAAAGTTGGTACATACAAGAGAAGAAATTTCAAAGAAAACTTTTCGCCATGGAAATAAGGAAGTCTCAGTTCCCAGAAAAACATAGGCAACCAAGCCACCAAAGTTCTTGGTTGATTTATGTCTCAGGTCGTCATCCTATTTATGTTTATGTAAGGATACGCATTTTTGCACGAGCT